GGAGGTTCAATTTTTTTTCCATATTTCCAAGAAAACATTCAAACAAAAGTTGTTCTGTTTCGTGAGAAGAACATACCCTTATGAGAATTGTGATTTGTACTTAATTAAATGTAACCTTATACAAATTTAACCTTGTAAAAAATGTGGCTGCTGTCTTGGAAGGTAACTAATTGAGTTGATTGGCTTTGTACCTAGGTAAGCAAATCTTTTTCCAATTTCAGATTACATTGCAATAAGATCTTTGAGCATGTTAGAATTATCTATGACACATAAATTGCAAGTTTTATTTTATTTGGAACCAGTAGGGACTAAATGGTGTACCATTGGGGTCAACAGAGCATACCTACAAATGGTTCAAAATATCTTTTTATTACTAAGTCACACCTAAATTAATGCTTTTACTTTTATAAATAGATTTTTACTTTTATAAATAGAGTTTCACTAGCTTCACAGATAAAAAAATAAATAATTTAAGAAATGTAGTTTATGAGATATTTTAAACCATCTGAGGCAGTCCCAGGAATGTTCTTTTGACCCTGACTGTACATAAAATGACTTTATCTACACTTCATACATAATGTTCCTATTACAAATTCGAAAGCAAATGTATAAGCAACTGCTTTACAGCCATTCAGCCTTTAAAAAAAATGTCGATGTCATAAAGTAAAATGTCGATGTCATAAAGTACTTTTTTCTGACTTTATGTTATCGACATTTATTAGCAGTAAGATAATAAAAAAAAACAAATGTCACGACACAATCAAAGAATGGGACGACACTTGAAATTATGAGGACTTATTTATTATTAAATCTTTTCTTCAAATCATTTTCCGAATTAAAATTTACCGATTAATGCTTTTTAATTTTAAAAGTTGTTTCGTTTTTATGAGCTTCCATTTTAAAGTTTAGTTAAAAAGTTACTTATGTATAAAAGTCGTTCAGTTGTTGGTTCAGTAGATATGCTTGCAATCGCCATAGTGAAGTGCGGAAGTATGAATTATTTTTCATAGTTTTTCTTGTAAAGTGTAGATAAAATAGTGTATGCAATTGCAATATAATTAGGCTTTAGAATGCTATGCCTCTTGTTATAAGGCAATTGCATAAACTACTATTATATTTTTACAAGAAATGTAGGTCGAAATATTTACGAGAGGTTTAATATTTTTAAATACCTACTAATTTACAATCTGTGTCCCTTGTTCAGTTACTCTATCATTTTTTTTAAAGTTTTTATTTTCAATACTTTCTTCAGGAGGACTTCAAGACCCAAGCCCTACCTCTCGCCCGCATCAAAAAGATCATGAAACTGGATGAGGAAGTCAAAATGATATCCGCAGAGGCGCCCGTCATGTTTGCTAAGGCTGCAGAGATCTTCATACACGAGTTGACGCTAAGAGCCTGGCAGCACACGGAGGAAAACAAAAGAAGAACTCTGCAGGTATTATTATTTACTTATTGAAACATAATTTTACAGCAATACCTTAGCCAGTAAAGTTGTGGTGACGCGCATGCGTTCCACATACAAGTCCTAAAACGCGGTATTGAAGTGTTTCCGCCAATCGCTATATATACAACTTCCAAACATATCCTGATGGACCAGTCAGTCCCCTTGTCTCAACATCTGACAAAGCAGGTAATTACACCTCCTTCCTCAGTCCAGTCATCATCACTCCTACGAAATAGACATCTGAGCTTCGGAGGACACGTTAAGCCGTCATGTTCGCCAAGGCTGCCGAGATCTTCATACACGAGTTGACGCTAAGAGTGTGGCAACACACGGAGGAAAACAAAAGGAGGACGCTACAGGTATTATACAGACATCTGTGCTTCGGAGGGCACGTCAAGCCTGGTTGTTTGCTAAGGCTGCAGAACTTCATACACGAGTTGACTCTAAGAGCCTGGCAACACACGGAGGAAAACAAAAGGAGGACTCTACAGGTATGATACAGACATCTGTGCTTCGGAGGGTACATTAACTGGATGAGGAAGTCAAAATGATATCAGCAGAGGCACCTGTTATGTTTGCTAAGGCTGCAGAGATCTTCATACACGAGTTGACGTTGCGGGCTTGGCAGCACACGGAGGAAAACAAAAGGAGGACGTTACAGGTATGATACAGACATCTGTGCTTCGGAGGGCACATTAACTAGATGAGGATATCAAAATGATATCGGCCGAGGCGCGAAATGCGACTTTTTTATAAAATTAATGATGATGCTATACTTTGGTTGGAAGCCGTGTGGTGCCGGCAGAGTAGAATAGCACCACACCCTCTATTCCCGTGGGGGTCGTAAGAGGCGACTGAGGGATAAACCGGACCCAAACAGCCAGGGCCAACCGTATGGTGGCGGTTAATCCACCACAAAAGCATTCCCAAGGAGGGTTGACGTCTGGTAGGCGGCCGGTCGTAAAATTAAGCCAAATCCTTTGCAACACGATTTAGTATTCAACGAAACGTGTTGCGCCAACCACAAGTAATTGGGATAAGGGCAGGAAGATGCTATACTTTGGTTGGACCTTGCATTATTTATGCTGTGCAACAAAAGTGACGACAGGTTATAATTTATACAATGTTACTGAGCTTGATTAAATATAATCTAGTATAGTATTCGTCCAAGAGTCTATCCTAAGTCAAGCAAAGCTTATATGGAAAAACACTCAGGCTGCATACAGATATTTAAAAATATCTTAATTTTTACCCGACTGCCTCAGAAGGAGGGTTATGTTTTTCGATAGTATGTATGTATGTATGTGGACAAGAAAATTCTTTTTCACGGGCTACAGCCCAAACGGATCGTTGGATTTTGACATGTGAGGTGTCGTTAGATTCATCTTAGCAGTGCAAGTGACACTGGCTATATTAAAAAAAATATAGATTCAAGATGGCGGATTTTAACAGCAAAATACTACTTTAAAATTACCGCAGTCGGGCTTTTTTGTATTTTAACACATCCACTTGTTTATTTTTAGCGCAACGACATAGCGATGGCGATATCCAAGTCGGACCAGTTCGACTTCCTCATCGACATAGTGCCGCGCCACGAGGTGAAGCCTTCCAAACCGCGCGACGACCTGCCAAGACCAACCATCGCCACGGGAGAAGTCACGGTATAGATGACATTCTCACCTTTAGTAATATTTGATAAAAACATCAGCAAAACTATCCTTGCCGTGCCACGCGTTATTATTTGCATAATTTCATAGGCAACGATTGAGCCGCGGTAGCCCAGGTGGTAGACGTTGCCAGTACTAATGGCAACAGTCGCAGGTTCAAATCCAGCCTGCGGTAGATGATTTCTAGATACCTGACACGGGAAGTGTTTTAAAAGTTGGCGTCCTGAGTAATCTTTGTAAAAAGAGAAGAAGAATATGTTTGAATGAAATGAATATGTATCAGTATGTTTAACATAAGCTCATCTTGATAGTCCATCTTAGAAAATATGTGTAAGGGTAAAGCTATATTAAAATTGATTTAAAATGGAGCAAAAATAATAAGCAACCTTTTAAATAATTTAAAAAAAGAAAAATGCTAGTCTGAAAAATCTTCAAGAAAATATTAAACTATGATATCTCAAACATGTTGAAAATACATATATTTTCAGGTAACGCAACCACAGACAACCGTACAGACCGGCCAACAGCAGTACATCATACCTTGCAACCAAATCATTCAGGTAGGTAAAAAAATACACGATGTAAAAAATACTGCATATATTTTAAGGGTTGAACCAGGCCATAAAACTGAACAACGTTTCCCTAGGAAAATAGGTTGAAATATGAAAAAAATATTGTAGCCTCCAATCCCGCACAAATTGACTTGTCCAGCTGGTACATTTTCTATGAGAGATTCAAATATTTTTTCATTATTTGACCGATGTTCTAAGGGGAAAGTTGTACAGTTTCGTGAGTACTTTGATCTCCTTCAGGATTTTTATACCCTGCAAAGTCATGGCACAAAATGACAAAATACTGATTACATTGTCTCCCATCATTACATCACTTCTTGCCTGCAGGTTTTGTAAGAGATGAGGATGACAAAGGGAGTTGGTAGTTTCATGTGATTTACGGTATTGGGCGATTGGTTGAATATTACAGATTTAGGAATAGGTTCATTGACAATTTGTCTCTACGTGATACAGAAACTTTTAAATGCCCCTCAAAATCTATCTAATGATGCAAAATCGAACAATATTTACCGCTTTGCCCACGACACGTGGTATGGAAGCGTGTTTTGTACCTGACTTAATTTTGTAATTCCTTTGCAGCAAGCCAGCACATCTGCGCAGCAACCCAGCACTAGCAGTAATGTGACCGTACAACAGCCATTAACAATTATGCAGCAGCTTGTGACAGCCAACGGAGAAGTGCAGCAGCTACCGGTAACAATACATTACTTACATAATCAATAAAATTAACAATAACATAATGGCCGCTTTTTACAGCGGTTTACGCTCTGCCTACCCCGCAAGGGACATAGGTGTGTTATACATAATGTATGTATGCAACAATAACATCATAACAACGAAAACTAACGTGTGTATAGCGACAAGTAACCAGTGTAGGTACTGCAATCTTCTTCGCCTTCGAGTGGGAAATCGAATCGTTCAACAAACCGATGAATGCAGGTGTCAGAGTTGCACAACCGCCAACCGCCTATTGCAAGTAGCAGCCTTCTGACATGTTTGATCGACAAGTAACCTGTGTAGTGTACCGACTCGTTCAATAAGCCGATGAACCCTGGTCTCATTTAAAAGGACATAAATGGTTGTGAAAGTGACTCATTTTTACAAGCGCCTACAAAAAGTTACAGGCCTCTAACATGGTTGTGTAATGTCCGTCTAAGTGATCGTAGGCAACAACCGGGACCGACGGCTTACCGTGCCCTCCGAAACACGGAACCATATGTCTTTTCGACATTCAGATGGTTCAGTCTGCAATGTCCTAACCAGACTGGGAACAAATTCACAAGGTGATGATAAATATCAACTTTGTGAAGTGAGTGACCTACTGAGATTCGAACCCAGAACCTTCTGCGTCGCATGCGGTCGCACTACCACTACGCCACATCGGCAGAGCCGAAATACATGTTCTGTGCTAAGCAACACCTATTGTTTTAATCAATAATCCTCTTAATTATTGAAAAAGGGACCTCTACCCTAATGATAATCTAATACAGAAACCCTATTTTTATTTTCCAGATCCAGCTATCCCAAGCGCAACTGAATATGATTCGACTGCAGGTCCAAAACAACCCCTCGCAACCCATCATCATTCAAGCAGCTCAGCAGCAAGGCCCTCAAATCATACAGGTATAACAGTTTTGCTTAAAGTCAGCCCATGTCTTGCCAGAGTAGTAAAAAAGGTGTAAGGGTTAATTTCATCGACAGCCGATGTGGGTGCGACCGCCTGCGACACAGAAGGTTCAGGGTTCGATTCCCGGTGGGTCACTTCACTAAGTTGATATCTATTACTTTGTGAATTTGCCCCCAGTCCGGTTAGGACATTGCAGGCTGAACCACCTGATTGTCCGAAAGCAAGGAGGGCACGAAAGGCCATCGGTCCCGGTTGCTGTCTATGATTACTTAGACGACGGTCGTTACCCAACCATGTCAGAGGTCTGCTATTTGTAGAGTCTGGCCAGCGAGTCTTTGGACGTCAAATAATTCAAATATTTCAAATGGCAACATGTTAACACTGAAAAAGTACAATAAAACAATTTTGATACATACTATTTATTTTGTTTTCTGCTCTTTAGTTTGTGTTTACCTTGCCTACCGGTATGTATGTATGATGTATCTACCGGGAGTAACAGAAAGGGTATAACAAGCCGAAAGGAGGTCAAGGTACTCATGAAACTGAACAACTTTCCCCATGGAACATGAGACGAAATATGAAAAAAAAATTGGACCTCTCAGAGTAAATCAATCAGCTGATCTGCGATTTTGTATGGGAGGTCCAAATATTTTTTTCATATATCGACCCATGTTTAATGGGAAAAGTTGTTCAGTTTCATGAGTACCTTGACCTCCTTTCGGCTTGTTATACCCTTTCTGTTACTCCCGGTAGATACATCATACATACATACCGGTAGGCAAGGTAAACACAAACTAAAGAGCAGAAAACAAAAAAATAGTAAGTATCAAAATTGTTTTATTGTAGTTTTTCAGTGTTAACATGTGAAAGATTTTTAAAATTGGCGCCATTTCCGTGTCCAAAGACTCGCTGGCCAGACTCTAGTAGACGGTAGAAAAAACTCACGAGAGTTCATTGGGTCGTTGGACGACTGGGTGTCGCACTCGAAAAGAAGAAGAAAAACGACGGAATGGGCAGCATCATTCGACTCGCTTGCCTTTCTTACTGAGTATTGCCAAGGCGGAGGAGGCAGGCCCATTTCAAGAGTGGTATTAGACTACGACTTAGAATCCCTCATATTTTTCCGAGTTGATGTGTAATGCAATTTTAGGCAACTGGCTCAAAACCTGTCACTATGGTTATACAGTCTTCTGAATGAACTTGTCAGACGTGTTGTAAATGGCAATTTTTCATTACGCTCTGCCTACCCCACAAGGGATATAGGCGTGATATATGTATGTGTAAATTAAACCCTTTAATGCTTGTACAAATAATTAGCTAGCTGCAAGTTTTCTTGTCTTATATTAAATAATGTTTTTTTTTCTCCAGGTGACGTCACAAGGTCAGCACCAGCCTCAACAACAAGTTTTCCTGCAGGTGGCCAGTCAGGACGACTCGTAGTCGCGACCCTTTGAAGATAAAAGCGACATATAGTGTGATCCATTTGTAAAGAACATAGTGCAGAACTTATTTGAAACCAGAAAACTGGAGACAGAACTTTTGATTTACTTATTTCGTTAAATTGAACTAGAATCCTTTGTGTAATCTGTCCAAGAATGTATTAGTTTTTTGTCAGGTGTTTTTTTTTGTCCTTTTCACGCATAGATTACTTTGTGGCATCTTGCTGTAAAAAAGTAATAGAGAAGCTGTAGTAGGTATTTTAGTTTTTATAATTGGCTTTATGATTATAATTTTGTGACATTAGGCTTTATTGACATTTTGCGATTACATCATCAATAGACTGACACATTTTGGGCCTTAATTTGCGACGATACAGCAATTATGAAATCAGTTATACTATGCTGTCAACCTGGAGTAAGTTGTGTAAATAGCTGTGGTTTTCTAAGACAATTGAAGTGTAATGAGTTCTGGTATATGCAAAATTATGTAGTTATATTGTAAGGTATAGGTAAGTCTCTTTTGGGATATTATGCAAAGATTTTGACTGTTACTATTTTATTATGTGTAAATAGATATTAGAAATATAAGTGTTCTTATTACAAAAGCTGTGTTGTTTATATTGCACTAAGAAAAGTAACAAATAATACAAAAAATGTGACACAAATAACATTTATTAAATCGTATTTCTTACAAATTAAAACATATCCAATATTTACATAACAATAACGCATTTAACACTAATAGAATTTAAATCAAATAACACAAATTAGACTTTAATTATAAATTCAACAGAACAGCATCATATAACATTAATAACAATCACTAGGAATTAATTTAATTATACTCTTATTTTTATTCAAAAGTTAAAACGTTGTAAGTAAAATAACCAACTAATGGGAATCCATAGGTATGTAACATTTATCTATTTAAAATAATAAGTAGTATATAAATAATCAATTCATAAACCTAAACTAGAGTGTATACAGCAAGTACTAAAAACTTATAATTTTTAAACTAGATGCGTTATAGTTGAATATTCGTACTTTCATTTCCATTCAGTCCTTCGGGACGGAAGATGCTCGAAGATTCAGTCACACTGCTATTTTACTTTATAAACCATTTAATTTAATTTTCTAAAATTGCTCGAAATATTTCAAGGGGCAAAATAGCCTATTCTAGGAAACATAGGACAAAATATAAAATAACAAAATGAATTGTCGGGTTAGGTTATAGTAAATTATCACCATTTTTTTTACAACTCCTTGCCCTGTTTGGCGAGGTGTCTCTGCACGGCCAACACGTCTTCTCGTAGGAGCACCACCATGGCGCGTTTCTGGGTCAACTCGCGTTTCAGGATGTCACCGGCGCGATTCAAGAACCAGGACGTGTATTTGTTCTCGCGCTCTTCCGCTCTGAAAGTGAAAAACAAAAATGAAACGGTATCTCCATCATAAATATTTTACATAACATTCAGGATAAAACACGGAGATGATGCCTAATGTTAGTTTCACATTAAATAACTGGTAGTAAGCCTCTGTGGTTGGTTTTTTCACCTAAGCCTCCCGGAACGCATGAAATCTTGGGGCACAAAATACAAATTAAGAGTATTAGTAAGAGAAGAGATGATAGTAGGATACAGAACAGTAAAAAGAAACTGCTTACAAGGCGGCTCAACTTATACTGGTTATAGAGCAAATCGTTATACCTAGCAACATGATAAGAACTTTTTCATTGAAACCAACTATATCCGAATGCCAACGAACTCAACAAAGTATAAGATGGGTCGACCTGAGATACAAAATAGCGCCTGAGACGATAGTTTTCGCCTTTATACCATGATTTTAAATTTTACGGGGGGGACGGCGCGAACGCAGTCCCCACTACCAAAAATTACGCACCCGAGTTATCCACATTAGGGATAATCGCAGGGGTCAGCCCAACCGCAGTGCAATGGAGAGGCCTCGCCCTGGGGGAACCGCCTTCTTGATCACGGTATCCCCTGTGCCAGGTAAGTATGAATTCACGAGCTCACAGCCGGGTATATGTAGTAAAGAGGAAGACATCTCAACACCGCGTTTTAGGATTTCGCGTCTACCTAACAGCGACATCTGTGTTTTCTTCTTAGTACTAAACACCAGAAGCATGAATTGTTTGTAAGCTCGAAAAGGGCCTAGTTCGCAACGAACTACCTGATGATGAACCCTGATGTCAGTAGCCTTAACATGACTATGTAGAAAACAAAAGCTAGTTGCTTACAAAGCGGATAAACTTTACTAAAGTACGGCCGCTATAGTCCGTCCAGTTCGTGCGCGACCTTTGCGCGACCCTCCCTAGGGGTGACAGACATTGGGGAGGGAGATGTCAGCGGGTAGCGGGAGGTGTAGCGGGGAAGGGAGAAGCGCGCATCCGCGCCGCACGTCATATTAAAATTACGAGCTTCCTCGCCCCTCCACCGTCTGTACCCCGCAGGAAGGTCGCGCACGAACTTGACGGACTATAGAGTTAATTATATTTGACATCTGACAACTCAATACAGGAAAACATGTCAACAAAGATAAATAGACCTTATGACATAGCATTAACATGATTTTAACAGCTGTCAAATGGGACTTGTTCCAGCGGTCGTATTTTAGGTATTAAAAAATAGCGTCCATAGCGACTTAAGCCACCGCTTAACTTGATGGGTGGCCCACCTAACATGATTACGTACGATCACACATTTAAGTAAATTCACGCGAACGGAGCCAAAATTTGCTAAAATTATACTTGAACAAATTTAAAGGGGGGGACGGCGCGAACGCAGTCCCCACTACCAAAAATTACGCACCCGAGTTATCCACATTAGGGATAATCGCAGGGGTCAGCCCAACCGCAGTGCAATGGAGAGGCCTCGCCCTGGGGGAACCGCCTTCTTGATCACGGTATCCCCTGTGCCAGGTAAGTATGACTTCACCCCTCGCGTAATAGTCTTCTCGACGGCCGTGAGGCCGTCGGGGAGACGCCTTATGGGCGAAGCCAACTGGGCGAAGATTCTGCCGCTGCCCGTTAAGACGGGCAGGTCATGGGGTAGGGGGCCGTGGTGAGCGTGGGAACACTCCACCACGGCCCGAAGGGTCAAAATTAAGGCCCGAGTGCGGCCGGACAGAACCGGCCGCAGACGGACCAGCAGTACCGCCAGCGAGTCGCCCGCCGGGTGGGACCCCAGTGCCCGGGGAGGCCCAGCGAACGCCTTCTAGCTGGCGGTAGAAGAAAGTAACGTCCGGGGAGCCGGCGAGCCTGACCCGAAGAGTTTCGGGCCCGCATCAGCCGGCTAGT